ATAAGTTGATTGCAAAGTTACTTATAATCAGTAGAATGGGGGACCATCAAAATAAACCTTTAATTTTATTAATAATAATAGTAATAAATAAATGTATAATGTTTACATTCACTGTATAATTATTATTTCTTGTTATTATTATTACTTTTAAAGGTACATTTTAATATACAAAAAAATAGTAGTAGTTATATATTTCAGTCATAATTTCTACAAGTTACAACAGCCTATTATTTTGCGGGTTTGTTGTGAAGACCTTTTGAATTGTATAATGCAATAGGTTTTATCAAATAAAACAATGAAATGCTTGTAACATGAACTATCACAAAAAAAACTGTAGAGATGAAGTTCATGTGGAGTGTCCTCATATAGTGAGACAGCAGACGCTGAAAACACCATGAGCATCACGCCTGCTTGAGTATGTGTAGTACATCCAGATTTTTTAGAAACACCTCTAATCATCTAAATATTGGCTATATTTCTTCTTTCTATTTTTTCAGATAAATATCAGTATCAATTTATCGCCCAACTATAACCTCATTGACAGCTTTGCGCCGAATGCTGTGAGCTTGAGCCAATACAAGGCAGTCGTGGCCTAATGGTTAGAGAGTTACAACCCAAAGGTTGCTGGTTCGAGTCTCAGGTCCGGCAGGAATTGTCGGTGGGGGGAGTGAATAACCAAAGCTCTCTTCCACCTTCAGTACCATGACTGAGGTGAGAGCCTTGAGCAAGGCACTGAACCCCCAACTGCTCCCCGGGCGCCGCAGCAATATGGCTGTGTGTTCACGGCAGGGGCGTGTCTACGTGGTGGCACCGGCCCCCCCTGAAATTTGGCTGGCCACCCCAGGTGCCCCCCCTACCATATGTCTTGCCATAGGCTTGTTTTTAGTAAATTTCTAATTTTAGGCGGTTTCTATAGTGTGATCTTAATGACAATGTCGAGAGCGCATAATGTTACGCGATCCATGTGTGCGAGGACGAATCTCTCCACTCCCAAGCGGATTTCCTTCACTCACACAAAAAACTGTGCCACCCTCTTTTGAGCCAGTGCCCCCGACTGGCCCCCCCATTTAAAATGCTCTAGACACGCCCCTGGTTCACGGTGTGTGTGTGTGCGCACTTGGATGGGTTAAATTCCGAGTATGGGTCACCATACTTGGCCACACGTCACTTCATGTACTTCACTCACACTCACTCACTACAGTTCCTTTCCACCAGGCTTGTCTCCTTCATCTATATCCTGACTTATCCCTCACATGTAATTCTGCATATATAAAGTGTTGTACGTAACACACACCTGCCTACAGACAGCACTATGACCTCTCCTACGTAACTGCGTCTGTCCAGTTTTTTGCTGGATGGGCGTCTCATCAGAGGCCATTTTTTCTGGTTGCAGCGGTTGCAGATGTTCTTATGTCCTCCGATCCCTCCGATGGTGTGCAGGTGGTTGCAGGTGTGTTTGGCTGCGCTGGGTGGCAACCCTGGCAGTGCAGGGCTCTCTGGGCTGGCAGGTGTGTTTGGAGAGGTGGGCGTCACAGGACGACTGTAGGAAATTGAACAGAAAAATATCAGCTTAACTGCATGAAACTGCATGACGAACTAGTTACATTTGCCAAAATTTGGTACATACAACAGAGAACACTACACTACACTTTCACTAAACCCTGGAAGCTTTTGCTTCTATATCTGAAAGGTACTATATTTTAGCTGAAACACAGCACAATTGGAGCAGTTACTTTAAAAGACAGACCAACTCTCTCCCCTGCTGCTTTATCTGTCTTCTCCTCTCTCCTTCTCCCTCTATTTATTTTGTCCTTCCACTCTGCCAACTAAAAAAAAAATAAAGAGGGAAATGCAGCGGTCTTTTCTTATCTGTCTTCATTACACTGCGGGATGTTGTTCTGCTCTGTGTGCATATGCACGTGTGCCTCATTTGAGAGGCAGAGGAAGAGCAGGACAGATACTTCAACTGCCACCTGCAAGAGGGACTATGAGGAACAAAGGAGCAAGAGACACATATGCAAACACACACAACACCAGAAGTGTATTCGGTGTGTTCTGCGATGGAAGCCACAACTAAAACATGAAATCAGTTAGTTAGATCATTGACTGTGTAAACATTGAATTAAAAAGGTATTGTCACTTTAAAGCAGTCATTGGGGGTCAAGGTTCTGCTGGGTGCCATGGTCTCATTAGCCCCTGCTGGTAGATGTTGTAACTACACCTTCTAGCTGCCAGTGTTGAGTTAGCTACAAGTTAACTACATGTTACTAGCCAAACTAAATTTTTCAGTAGCGAGGTTACTTTTAAAATAGTGTAACATTTTCAGTAGCGAGCTACTTTTTCAACCAAGTAGCAGTGTAGCGACACAAAATGCTATATCACTATGCTTAAAATATTAAATGAAATGCCCAGCTGGCAAAAGATTCATTCTTTTGAGTCAGTTCTTTTCGAGGAATGCATCAAACTATGAGCAGAGCGATCCAAAATGATTTGAGATTCAGGCTGATTCATCCAGCCTGTTTGGGGTAAAACTTTACAGCGGTGTATTGATAATGCACAGAACAAAAAGAATGCGGGTCTTGATAAAGTGAAACATTTACCTACTCATAATTTAAAGCAGCTTTTTCAACACTGCTAGCTGCAGAAAGCATCTTTATTCACTTTCGAACTTTTACAAATAGCCACTGACTTCTGACGAAATAAATTTTGCAAGCATGTAAATTGACATTTAACTTGCAAAGCCCTCCGCTCAAGCGCCACCCCCGGACTCATCTCCCCATGGATGCCCTGTACGCTCAGTAATTGTCTGGAGAATGGACAGCACAACATCTCCTCTGCAGAACACCCAATCACCCTTCATTCTGAGCACCACTCCTTATTTTCCTCTTCTTCTCTTGACTTCCTAATCACTCCATCCTGAGCTCCTTTTGTCACAGCATCTGATTGCTCTAAACCTTTTACTTTCCCGATGCTCTGCTCCTCTTTTCAGTCTCTATTTTTTGGTCTCATACTTGTGTTCAAAATAGTAGAGATCAAATCCACTCTGCTGCTTATACAGTGTGTCAAGCAGAGTGACATCATTGTTCAACTCAAATCTATTATTCACATGAATGCTCAGACCAACTGAAACACACACACACACACACACACAACGGTTTGGGGTAAAACTTTACAGCGGTGTATTGATAATGCACAGAACAAAAAGAATGCGGGTCTTGATAAAGTGAAACATTTACCTACTCATAATTTAAAGCAGCTTTTTCAACACTGCTAGCTGCAGAAAGCATCTTTATTCACTTTCGAACTTTTACAAATAGCCACTGACTTCTGACGAAATAAATTTTGCAAGCATGTAAATTGACATTTAACTTGCAAAGCCCTCCGCTCAAGCGCCACCCCCGGACTCATCTCCCCATGGATGCCCTGTACGCTCAGTAATTGTCTGGAGAATGGACAGCACAACATCTCCTCTGCAGAACACCCAATCACCCTTCATTCTGAGCACCACTCCTTATTTTCCTCTTCTTCTCTTGACTTCCTAATCACTCCATCCTGAGCTCCTTTTGTCACAGCATCTGATTGCTCTAAACCTTTTACTTTCCCGATGCTCTGCTCCTCTTTTCAGTCTCTATTTTTTGGTCTCATACTTGTGTTCAAAATAGTAGAGATCAAATCCACTCTGCTGCTTATACAGTGTGTCAAGCAGAGTGACGTCATTGTTCAACTCAAATCTATTATTCACATGAATGCTCAGACCAACTGAAACACACACACACACACACAACGTCAAAGGAGGACATTTGGGGAAAAGGAAGGATTAAAGGAATTCCCTAACTTGAAATCCATATGAACCTTTTCTTCCATGGAACACAAAAGGAACCATTTTGAAGAATTCTTCTATATCCTTCGATAAAAGGCACCACAAAGGTATCATAAAATACATTTATTTTTATATATATTTAAAATTCAGCATTGTACTTTTTCAGGTTCTCTCACTGATTTGATCTGGTCCCAACAGTTTTCTTGAGTTAAAAGCTCAATGGAGGGGAAGATTATCATCGAATAATGGCTATCATATGAGTTCAGAAGTCTTAAAGTACACATTTAGGACCACTTTTAAGATTTTATGGCCCTTTTAGTTGAAGCTTGAAAGCAACCAGTTTATTTATCTCCTTTTTGTTCCACTGCGGAAATAAAAATTTGTCATTCACAGATTTTTCATTCACTTTTTTTTTTTTTTATGAGTGAACTATCCCTTTAACCTAGTGACTGATGTGTAAGACTGTGAATTGCATAAGATGAACGAAACAGTTCAAATATACCATTTCAGGATGAATAAACATTCACTCATGTATTTTGAAATGTTACAGGAATAAGGTGTAGTGCAGGTATATGAGCAATTTGAGATAAAAAAAAAAGTGAAGATCCCTTGAAAAGATTAAAAATGACCTTAATCTTGATGTCACAGCATACATTTTCAGTACTAGGCAATTAACTTTCACCTTCTATAAACTGATGTCATAATGCTGATAAAATGGAGCACAATGACATTTACATACATCTTAAGGTGAGACCAATGCTCCACCCAGACTCATATTCTGTGACTTCTCTGTATATGTGGTTTTGAAAGTCTTCCTGGATCTAATTCTGGCTTGCAGCAGTGTCAGTGATTGATGCTTTTGTGCTTCATGGTGATTTCCCCCACGATGTGTCATATGAGACAGACAGAACCACCTTTATGCCTCAATGCTACTCTGTCTGCCCTCTTGTGCTGCTGCCGTTATTTAAGAAGTGACATCGCCATCTTGTGGGGAGATGGGGCACTGACTTACAAAACACTTATTGAGTTTCATAAGCTAATAATAATACATCCATGTCTAATGAAACATTCATGCTTGTTTTACAAGAATGCTACTGTATTACTGTATATAAGTTTCTTTATATACAGTGAGGATCCAATATGCTGAGAGCTAGTGAAAATACTTCTACTTAGCTTTTTGTTCTAACTGAACAGACTACATATTGAATTATCACCATAATAAAGTGAATTTATAAATGAATAATGGAAATTAATTTGTTAGGTTTTTTAATAAATATGCCAGTTCAGGACACCATTACAGAGAGAACAGAAAACAAATATAGGTAAGACATAAACAAGGTCTTACCCCTCCGATTCTATACTGTCCTGAACCATGGCTTTGAGTGCGTCGGAGTTGGCTGGTGAAAAAATTAAAGAGAGAGAGTGTTCATTAAATGACTCCTTAAATTAGCACAGAGAGTCTGCAGCCTCAGATGCAGAACCATTAAGCAAAGTGAAGTCTTCTGACTAATGAAAGCAGCTGACTGCCTTCTGATGCAACTACTACTGCAGCACATATTCGCAATTACAGTGGACAGAGCGTAGGTTCAAGCCATCATTTAGTTTCATTTTGAAATGACATCGGGGTAGTTTCAATTTAAATTGCCTTCAAAAAGGCGATCAACTTTAAAATGTTAACATTTTCGCACAGTGGCACATGAATTGTGCAATCACTGGCAATGAAAGTGACTAGCACGTCACAAAACTTTCAGTTCCTTCCGTTTACACAGAAGAACATCCTATCAATTTTAAGATGCTGACTGCTATATACCTTCTTATTAAACATCCACTAGATATGCAGGAATATGCCTGTTTTTGAAACGATAATGTGTTGCTAGGCATGCACCATGACCAAACAGTGGACATGGAGCATCATGAAAGATGTACACACAAATACACAAGACACATGCAGCAGTAGTATCACTTCCTGTCCACAGTTTGTGTCATACGAATGGGGAAGAAACGGTTTAAAATGCTGTTGATCAGATGGTGTCACCATGGAGTGACCATTGATGTTTTTCTAAACAGGTTCAAACAGACCAAAACCATAGTTCCACTTTTTTAATCTCTCTATTTTTCATTCTCAGATCAGTTTTCCCTTTTTATGTACAACTGAACTTTTCTTGTACACTTTGAAGTTGTTACGATGCAATGTCACACAGCCTGAAGTGAACCAGACAACACCTTCTACAGGCATCAACAAGAAATCAAGATAAACAAACTCATGATTGGAAAGTCAATTAATGGAGATGTTTGAATCAACCTGGGGAAAAACTCTGTAACTGAGAGAATATGTTGTCTGGGGTGACCTCATAATGATTTACTGCTCTGAGGTCAGCTGAGGATTGTTCATGCTCGGTCACAATTAATTCTGCATTACACTCAACGTGACTGACTGGTTACACCTCATATTTCCCTCAGTAATAAAAACCCCACAAAGGCATGTTATCAGTTCTGAAAGGCCTTATGTCCTAGAGACTAATCTTAACCAGGGTCTGTCAAACCGCTCATATGATCTTTCAGTGTAATGAGTGTGTAATCTAGTGATGCCTAAAGTCATCTTTATCCATACATTCATTCAGCTCACCTTCATTTATCATGATGAAGTGAACAATTCGGCCCACTGTGTCAGTGTTGCCTTCACTGAAGGTGTCATTCAGATCTGACAGAGAGAGACAGAGATGGGTTGTGTTAAAAATGGAAGAATAATACTTTGAGCTATTGAATATTGGTCAACTTGCCTTTGTTAGAAAAAGAAAATAATTAAGTGAAAATTGAATTAAAAGTGACATCCGTTTTTGAAAAGCAAAAAGACCCACTCAGTTTGTTTAGTGTTTTATGTCAATACAAGCAGAACCAATGCAGAAATGTGGCACAAAACATCCATAAAAAGTGTGCGGGTTTAACAGCCTTTGTCTCAAACTGCCATCATAAACCAACTGTTATTAGTGGTTGTTATTAATGACACTCAATATGCAGGCGGTATGAAATATTGTATTTTCTGACACAGTAGTACTAAAAAGGCCTTGCTTATGATCACAAAAAAAAAAACTTTTACAATACTAACAATAAATACAGTCTGTTGACATCAGTGAAAGGCCTCATAAAGGCATCTGGAGATGGAAGAGATGGCGAACTCAGAGTGGGCCGCTTACAGAAAACACACACACACCACCCATGTCCTTCCTGAAGCCATGGGCCCCTGCTGGAAGGGACAGACTTCCTGTGTTGGATTTGCTCTCACAGCTGGGGATCAGACGGGGAAATGTGTAGTTCTGGAGTCATATAAAGTTTATCATCTGCTTTCTGTTTTTGTTACTTTTTATTTTTATTGCATGTATTAATCTACAGCTACATAATTTCCATACACATTGACAAAATACATACAGTCTAGGTTTACTAACAACAAAAAAGACAAAATTACACCCACAATTATTACCCCAAAGCTGCATTTCAGTTTCTCTCTAATCAGAGCCACAATCATTATAAACCCATCCACTGAGCCCAAAGATCCTGATGAGAGCACAAGCTCATAGAAGTGGGTGAGTGGCTCGGATTACTCTCACTAGTTCAAAAAGACATTCTGATAAACAAATAAATAAATAAATAAATAATACAAAAAGAAATCTAATCCGTCTCATTTACAGCATTGTTAACAGCATTTATATTTACTAATTGTTAACTACAATTAAAACTATTAAAATCATTTTTTGTTAATTGTAATAAAACTAATATAAAAAAAAAAAAAAACAGATATTAGATAAAAAAAAATTATGAAAGGCTTTGAAGAAATGTTGCCTTGGCAACTCACTGAAAAAAAGCTATATTGAAATACTATTTTAAAAAATGACAAAAGCAGATAAAATTACTAAAATTATGGAAAAATAAAAGTTAATTAAAAATAGTAATAAATATTATAATGTATAAATAATATACGTGGCCTTGTATAAATAAATGCATTTGATTATTGGGGGGGGTATATGTAACTAGTGCTGAATCACATGCAATGAGATATGATCCAAAGATTTGAAGACAAAGAAAAAGAGGAGGAGAGAGAGTAAAAGAAAGAGAGGGTTGTGTCAGGTTAAACAAGTCCACACACACACACACACACACACACACGCACACACTTTTAAGTTTCCTAGAATTCAGACAATGCCACATGAACATTCCTAGAAAAGCATGCAAACTAATATACGGTTTTAAATGACGCAAAGACAAAAACGACTACAAACAGTAATGTGTGAGCAAAGTGAACACTGAGAACAATACAATACAATTTGCACTGCTGTGGCCAGCCCAGTTCTGAACCACAAGGTGTGTGTCGAGTTGAATTTCTCTTCCTATAGCTGGTAAAAGTGTAAATGTATTCTTTAGCATACGTGATGTGACTTTGGCAGGGCCTAATGCTATAGCCAACTCCCAAAAACTCCCTAAGACGGTGATAGGAAGGATGATGAAGAAACACGACTCAGCAGCGGAGTATAAAGTATTGTCTGTTCTCCAATCTATAAATGATGATACTGAAACGGATTATGTGAATACTCAAGATACAATTACAGGCGTGTCAAAACAACGAGAAGATGAGCAACTTTAATGAGATAAAATAAGACAAGCATGATAGCGAGTGTGTTAGGAGAGGCTACATTTCTGGGAGTCTTTCTTTTCCATGACATTTCTTCACCTCTCTTCCTAAAAAATGTCTCAAAACAAGAAAAACAAAACTGCTTCCAAGTGGCCTGAATATAAATAAAATATAAATGTCAGCTTAAATCCACCATCCCACAAGCACTTGAAACACCATGGAATGAGGTCATGCATCCACTTGTAACCTTCAGTGGTCCTTCGACTGATTGTATTGTCCATAATAAAACTCACAGGAATTGCATAATGAAGTGCCATTTGTCTGAGAGGAAGTTTGACCTTCTTCGGCCGTTTCAAGAAACATGGTCAGTATATGCAATCTAATGTTATCCAAATGTCAGCAAAACACTCTCACCTCCTTTTTCTGGATCTTTCTCCTCTTCGTCATTGTCTTTATCCAGCTCATCATCTTCCTCTGCCTCAGTTGTACAGCGGTACCCCTTCTTCTTCAGTATGTGGCAGATAAGGACACCCAGAAGCCCCAGCAGGAAGAAGAAAAGCACCAAAAAAAAGGCAATATACTCTGGGTTAACTGAGTTCCCATCACCATAGCCATCTAAAGAGAGAAGAAATTAATCAATACAAAAAAAAAAGTTCTATACGGTACAAACTGATAGACTGATTAGATGGATTTTATAGTTTGAAATCAAAGACCGTTTGACCCACTACAACACCTGACAGTTCTGGGGCTTTGTTTTAATATCTGTTGGCTTTTATATGCTAGTATACTCCACATGACAATGACAACCTGACGGATGCAGTACGTCCAGATTACATTCATACATACATTCATGCTATACAGAACTTAACAGTTGTGAAATAATTACTTATTTAGCAGAAGTACCTACTCAGAATATATGATTTTGGATGCAGCTTCTGACTAGCAATAGCAAGTAGCTAATCATGGTTCATGATTTCAACAGCGCTATTTATACAGTTGTTATAGAACCCCCTTCCACTTCTTAATAATAGACTTCACTGTGCTTCTAGGCATTGATAAAGCCTTTGAAACGTTTTTGTATCCCATCTCCTGACTTGTGCCTGTCCACAACTTTATCCCAGAGATTTTTTTATGGGTGCCCATAGATGATTGTTTGCTTCAGTTGCACTGCCAAGGACTGAAATGCTCCAGGTAAGCTCTTTTCATGCTGAGCTAATCAAAATGACCACAGCTGATCACAGTTGAAAGTCAAATGTGTCCGTCTTCATTTCAGGCTACAAAGCAACAAAATTTGATTATTTTAAAGTGGGGTGATTCTTTTCTATACCGTGTGTGTGTGTGTGTGTGTGTGTATTTAAGTAGTTTGAGTGTGTAGGGAGACTGACTACACATTGTTCGCAGTGCTTCATGGGAGTTGGTTAGCGCTAGTGTTCTTATTGTGTGATTTGATTTTTTGTTGGATATTTCTTTGCAGAATCATATGTAATGTAGTTTCTCTTCAAGAATTCCACTACAAAACAATCATTTAAAAAAAATTGTTCAAATAATACAGGCTTATGTCTTCAACAAAAGCAAATACCACCAATTTACAACCTTGTAGTTCAGAGTAGGTTTGTCTTTAAATGTTTATTTATGAGTTATTGTTAAAAATCAATTCTCCTACAGAGAAAATTAACAGAATTTTTACTGTTGTTAAAAAGGGAAAATCCATTTGATAACATGGAACAAGGAAGACAACTGAGTTTGTCAAGTTATTGGAATGTTTAAAGGGGTCATATGATGTGATTTCAAGTTTTCCTTTCTCTTTGGAGTGTTATAAGCTGTTTGTGAATAGATAAGATCCCTAAAGTTGCAAAGACTAAAG